CGTGTGGCACAATCACTCCATCTAACTGTGAGCCAAATGCCAAATGTAGAAGTACATCTAGTCTCCAGCTAACCAACTAGCTAACCAGAGACACACCAGTGAATTCAAACAAGAACAGCTAACCATGGCCCAGGTCAGCAGAACTGCTCAGCTGATTTGAAGACTCATGAGCAATAATGAATTGTTGTTTTTTGAAACCACTAAGGTTTGGAGTAGTTCGCTATACAGTAAAATTGTTAAATGTTACAATTAGTATTTCAGCTCAGTAAGAAAAAAAATGGATTATACAATAAGCAGGGGCTCAGACAACTAGTTCACCATTTTTGATGAGAAGATCAGATTCCCTCTAAATTGCATAATACATTCCAGATGGATTAAAAAAAGTATATATAAAGAATGATAGCATAAAAATGTTAAAATAAATTTTTAGTCGATATTTATGTACTCTTGACATCGGAAGACTTTCCTAGATACTGATGTCTAAAGGAAAAAGAGTAATAGATTTTACTATGCAAAGATTTTATAAATTTTACTTGTCTAAAAAATAAAAGGCAAATGACAAATAGGTAAAATTTTACATATGAAGAAAGATTACATTCCTTACATACACAAAGTATTTTTTATGCATGACAGAAGTATGCTAAAAGCTTGCTAGCTTAATATACACAAAATAACAAAAAGCTGCACTACCTGATAAACTATTGACCAAAAGGTTTTACACATGTAACTCACAATATAAGAAAGGTAAATGGCCGGTTAACATTTTTAAATGTTCAACCTCACTGGCAAGCAAAGAAAGATTAAAATAACAGTAAAATTACTTTACCAGGTTAAGAATTCTAACTATCAAAAACAATAATACCTAGAAAACAGACATTATTTTATAAACTGCCGGCAGAATTATAATTTAGTACATTTTTGCTAAGTAATATGTATATGCACGTGTGCGCGTGTGTGTGTGTGTGTGTGTGTGTGTGTGTGTATGATGTGTGTGTGTTTGTGAGTGAGAAATATTTTTTGACTGAGAAATTTTCCTTTAAAGAATACATCCAGATGAAACAATCTGGGATGTGGGGAAGACAGTCACTTGACCTCATGATCCTACATCCCAGGTCATTAGAAGACTAGAGACTGTCTTCAGTTCACTGGCTTCACTGTGTAAGCCAGTAGTACCAAGAGTTTCTTCAGGTGGCACTAATGGTAAAGAACCTGCCTGCCAATGCAGGAGACCTAAGAGACGTGGGTTTGAATCGTGGGTCAGGAAGACCCCCTGGAGGACGAAATGGCAGCCCACTTCGGTATTCTTGCCTGGAGAATCCCACAGACAGAGGAACCTTGGCAGGCTACAGCCCATAGGGTTGCAAAGCGTCAGGCACGACTGCAGTGACTGAGCATGCACACCCAAGAGCTGCTGCTCAACACCAAAGGCACAGAAGCCATGTGCCTGCCCATCCCGGCCTTCCCCACTCTGCACCTAGCAAACTGACTTCGGGCTCCTAAATAACAATAGCTACCACTACTGAATGAAGAGACAGTAAGCCAAACTGACCTCAGAACCTGTACAACTGTGCCATCACTGACTCTATTACATGAATAAATATATTAATACCATATCAATTATTTCACACTGTAGCCAACTCAGCAATGTACAATCATTCATTTATGAAGAGATTTGGGCTTCACCCTCAGTTTGTCTTAAAAACTTTATTGGAATTCATAGCAGCTCCTGGACACCTAGCACCCTTAAGACCTAAGCAGAAAAAAATAAACCCCAGAACTTAGAATGCAGAAAAGACAAAGGAAGTCTTGCTATATAGAAAATATGGAAAGCGTTAAATCAAGTATCTTCATCAAACCCCTTTAAAGATCCCTCTGCCATTTTGTCCACAAAACGATACAGCACCATTACAGACAAGATTCTTCAGCTCCAAGTGCAGATGTGGCAGGAAGCCCAAGAATGAGATAGATCATCAAAGATATATGAAGAAGAAAGAAAAGGGGGAAAAAAAGAAAGAAAACAAAGAACAAACCAAAACAAAAAGTATACCTGAGAGAGAAAAAAAAGTCTGGAACAGAAACAGCGTTAGTGCTTACTGATTCATGTAACAGCTTCAGCACAGAAGAAATTTGCAATCTGTATTTGTAGAACAATTTACCAAGCATTTCTACATCCACTATGGAATAGAATCTTTGTAATAAGACAGTGAGTATGTGTTCCATTTTATGGAAAGAAACTGAAGTTCTGGGAAGGTAAGAAAATTGCCAAAAGCCACATAGCAAATAAGCGACAGAACTGGGGTCTTGAAGCCCCATTTTCTTTCCAAAAATCTACTATTGCTGCAGACTGTCCCTCCAGCTGAGCTCCCCTGGTGGCTCACACGGTACAAACAACCATGAAAATTTCAAGAAGCAAATATATTATCAACACATTTAGTGATGTTCACATAGTAAGCTATTTGTCTTCTCTTTGCTGTTGCTGTTGCTGTTCTTATTTAGTCACTAAGTCATGTTTGACTCTTTGCGACCCTATGGACTGTAGACCACCAGGCTCCTCTGTCCATGGGATTTCCCAGGCAAGAATACTGGAGTGGGATGCCATTTCCTTCTCCACAGTTCTTCCCTTTAGAAAAGCTACCTATGAAAACAATATCTGATTCCTTCTTTCAAAAACAGCAGAATGTGGAAGAGGAGCACAGTGTTGGGGAGGGGGTTTTGTCAATGAAATGCAACTTGAATAAGTCTTGTGAGACAGAGCTGCTCGGTGTCTTGAATACACAAGATGCTGGATACACACACCTGCATAAAAGTGTATAGAACTTAATATACCCACAAATAAGTACAGGTAAAATTGTGGAAATCTGAATAAAAATCTACAGATTTTATCAATGTCCATAATCTGATCATGATTTTATACTATAGTTTTACAAAATGATACCACTGGAAAAAAGTGGGTAAATGATAGATGAAATTTAGCTATATTTTTTTATAGTTTCTTTTTAAATTGTTTATTTATTGACTGTGCTGAGTCTTCGGTGCTGCTTGCAGGTTATCTCTAATTGCTACCAGCAGGAGCTAGTCTTTGTTATGGTGCGCAGGCTTCGCGTTGCAGTGGTTTCTCTTATTGCGGAGCGTGGACTCTAGAGCATGCAGGCTTCAGTAACCACAGCAATCAGGCTCAGTGGTTGTGGTTCATGGGCTTAGCTGCTCTGAGGCATGTGGGATCTTCCCGGACCAGGGATTGAACCTGTGTCCCCTGCACTGACAGGCAGATTCTTATCCACTAGTGAACTCCCTAGCTGTACTTTTTATTATAACTGCATGGGAATATACAACTATCTCAACAAAAAATTCAATCAAAAAAATCAACAGAGTATTCATATCATCAACACTGATTTTGAAACAGATCATTGATATTGTACAGAAATATAAGGCATAATGTAGTTAATCAAAGCTGACTTCTTTATAGTAAAACTGGAAGAGGTCTTATCCATGAAATTTCAATTTTAAAAATTATTATTTCAAGACTGAGATGATAATTTTGAATAGTTTTTAAAGATGTAATACCTTAAGAGTAAGACTCAGATAACCCTAGTTATGCAAATGATAAACCATTGGTAGAAGAAAGACTCAAAGAGGAAGAAAAAAAGTCTTTGAGCTAGAACAAAGGGCTATTTAAGAATTCTATCTCATGGCTAACTGGCACATGAAAAGATGCTCAACATCACTAATTATTAGAGAAATGCCAATCAAAACTACAATAAGGCACCATCTCACACCATCAGAATGGCCATACTAAAGAAGTCTACAAACAACAATTGCTATAGAGGGTATAAAGAAAAAGTAACCTCCTACACTGTTGGTGTAATGTAAGCTGGTGCAAGCCACCATGGAAAACAGTAAAGAGGTTTCTCAAAAACAAAAAATAGAGTTCTCATGTGAGCCAGCAATCCTATGCATATATCCAGACAAAACTATAATTCAAAAAGATACGCATACCCCTATGTTCACAGCACAATTCACAACAGCCAAGACATGAAAAGAATCTATATGGTCAATGACAGATGAATAAAGATATGATACACATATACAATGGAATACCAGTCAGCCATAAAAAAGAATGAAATAATGTTATACAGCAACATGGATGGACCTAGAGATGATCATACTAAGCCAAAAGAAAAAGATAAATACCATGTAATATCACCTATATGTGAGATCTAAAATATGACACAAGTGAATTTATCTACAAAATAGACTCACAGACATACAGAACAGACTTGTGATTAACAAGAGGGAGGATAACTAGGGAAGGAAGGGATTGGGAGTTTGAGATTAGCAGACACAAACTATTGTACATAGAATGGATAAACAACAAGGTCCTACTATTCAGCACAGGGAAGTACCCTGTGATAAACCATAATGGAGAACAGTATGAAAAAGAAAGTGTGTGTGTGCATATATATATATATATATATATATATATATATAAAACTAAATCACTTTATTGTACAGCATAAACTAGCACATTGTAAATCAACTATACATCAATAAAGTAAATTTTAAAAACAGAATTCTATCTTAAAACATCAGCTGACAAAAAACTAGAAGTATGATCCAATTACTTTGTAAGACAATCTGAGAATTATGATAATTATGGGATGTACCAAGAATTGTCCAATAAACACACTAACCATATAGCTACTATTTATCAAGCATATACTATATGCCTGGCATTATGCTGGCTGCTTCAAAGAAATGATGGAAAATCCTCACAAAAACTCTGGAAAGTAAAATATGGATGGATCTATTCTATATTACTAAAAGTCACATAATTAGACAGTGGCAGAGCTTGACTAAATTCTGACTCTAAAGCTTGCATGCTGTGCACTGTTTCATAATATACAAGAAAGAAACACCTAACCTTGATAGTCTGGTACATGACTCTAGAGTGAGGGAAAAGATTATATCCAGTAGTACAAAACTACCACTGATATACTTACCTGCTTGTAAGTTCCATCCAGCAAGGTGTCCAGGTGTTGGAGGGGCGCAGGTGTTTTATCTTTGAACCTTGTTAACAGCCGACGTTGAATGGCCCGAAATTGTACAGCTCTTTCAGATAAGAGTTCTTCTAATTTTTCACCATTTATCCGCAACTACAATGAAGAATTTCTTTAATTCAGGCTAAATGTGCACAACAAAAACATGTCTAAAGTAGGGATACTGGCAATACCAATAGAAATTTGAAAAGAGTAAAGAGGAAATTTAAGGGTATTACAGAGTTTAGAGAATTAAAACAGTATGATATTTGATTCACGAATACATAAATGATACAGTGAAATAGGCTGGATAGAAATTTAGTAAAAATGGCCCACTTACCAACGGGTAAAGACAGATTATTTAATAAACATTTTGTGATAACTGATTAAATATACAAGGGAAAAAAGAATAATAATCTATAATCTCTCCCCTAGCCTTTACAGCAAAATCAACTGTAGAGGAATCAAAAGTTTAAATAAAACAAAAGTACTAGAAAATTGTATTCTTAAGATAATTTTAGCATGAGACAGATCTTTATAAGTTAAAAGACTTTTGGCTTTTTTTACTAACCTAAAAAAAAAAATTCTATGTGATTGCCATAATATCTAGAAAGCATCTACAAACCGATGAAAAAGTGACCGCAACCCAAACAAATGAGTAAGAAAAAGAACACCAATCCAACAGAAAAGTAGGCAAGATTCACAGAGAAGTTAATACAAATAGTTCTCAAACATAACAGCCTTTGACCTAGCAATCGCACTTCCAGGAATTTTTCCAAGGGGTGTGCTTGCAAATAGTAATGTACAGGCAAACATATTCATTATAGAATTTGTTCTGTTCCTATTACAGTAAGATAATGTTAATAATCAAACTGCTATCAATAGAGGAACAAGAGGACCACTAGGTACAGATAAGCAATGCTAGCCAAAGATGCATTCAACGAAGCAAAGTAAAGAAACAATATCATTCATGTATTTTTTCTAAAAATTTGTATAGTAACATAGTTGTGACTACATAGAACAATTCTAGAAAGATCACAAGAAACTGGACACCAAAAGTTGCCTCCAAAGAGGATACTGAATAATGGGATGAGAATCAGAAATGACTCTTTTCTATTAACTCTTTTCATAATTTTTGAAGTTAATATTATTAAAATAAAGAAAACTGATCAAAGTCATAGGGGAATACTCCATGAAACCAGATCATGTGACTGATACTTCAACTTCACAGAACAGTCATAATACTTCTGAAGTATCATATTCAGTATGTTTGGAAATCAAAACACAGTTTACATTTCTTATATCAAACCAAACTCCCCTCTTTTTCAGTGCATGTGTGGAGAAAAGACACATGATTGGGGAAAAAACTTGGAATTCTATTACCCTCCTTTAACCCCAGTTTCGGAAGCACTTAAGTAGCTACATCAAAGAATATTCTCTTGAAGGGAAAGAAAAATTCATTACCAAAATTTAAAATGATAACAACTAATTTTTTAAGAAGGATATTATAAAAGTTATCAATAATTCACTTTTAATTGTATGACTTCCTGCTAAAATATTTTATTTCCTCAATTCATGAAATAAAAAAAATATTTTCAATATTAAGACATCAGCCAGGTGTCTTTGTATGTGTAACAAAACATCAGTGATTGAAATGTTTTCACATATCAGAATTTCAACACTTAACAAATATGTATGGATCTTAGTGCCAAGCAATGTTCTAGGCACTAGGAATTACAACAATGACTAAAACAGACAAAAATTCCTGTTTTCATGGAGCTTATGCTAAAGGACACTTGGAGGCCAAAAGCCACCTTTATTCAAAGTTGAAAGCTGTATTAAAAAGAAAAAAAAAGAAAAAGGTAGAGACTGAGGCCAGAGAGTAAAGGAAGCATAAGGACGCCCTTTTTAACTTGCTTGACAAGTAAAAGTGTATATAGTTGACCATATTCCCTAAGGCCCTCCCCAGAAAAGAAATGTCCCTGATGTAGAAACTACAAGGATTAACTAGCCAGCAAATATAAGCACAGGAGAGACGGGGACTATATGTCAAATATAGCCAATTAGAAACGAATGTTTTCGATTTTAAATGTTACAAACATTTAATCAGTATAGTCTTTCTGTGGACTCTCTTCCGTCAGTCGCTGGACCCCAGTTTTGCACAGTTAAGCAGGAATTTCTTCAGATATATCCTAGAGAATTGCAAAGGTTCTCGATACTTAGAGTACCTAAATATTATTTCCCAAATTATTGACTTTTGGTGCCACAATTTGGTCAAAGTATACTATCCTATACAATATCATCAGCATAGATGAGAGAAAACCCAAATTAATTTATTTGATAATGTTGTATTATCCACAATTAGACTGCATTCACTGAAAATTTCCCTTTATGTTGACTGTGTATTCAAAAAAGTCTTTATGTATAGGTTAAAGTTAACATTCTTAGAATGTTCAAGGAACTGAACATTAAGTAGAATGTTCATGTGACTGACAATTTACATAACATATTCTCTCTCCCTTCCTCTCTCTCTATAATACACACATACACACGTGCACACACACACCACTTTACAGAGATGCAAAAACCTATGGATTCCTTAAAAAGGAGCCACTCTAGGGAACCAATGCTTCCTTAAATAATTTTCAAAATCTTTTTGAAATTCCTCTTTGTAATTCCCTAGAGGATCTACTTACAGGCAAATAAGTAAGTAAAGCTTGGTGAATTCTTTTTTTAAACACATGGGACTTAAAACAATGAGTGTCATTGTATAATTGTTTTCACAAAAACATTAATCTTGACTATTTCCAAATATCAAACCAATTTTCAAAGGATGAAGATTTGACACTCTGAAGATACTCAAGAAAATCTAACACAGGCTCTGAAGATAATTCCAAAGAAGAAGTGCAAACATATCCAGGCAACAAAGTCACTGGCAAATCTCACTGATTTAGACATTTAATCCTTCAGCATTTACCAAGCGCCCATTGTGCCAGATACTCGATAATATTTTACGTGATTAACCCTCATTCAGATGCAGAAGTTCTGGTGTGCTTGTTAAAAATGAAAAGGAAAATTCACTTTACTTTATAATCACACCTCATTTATGGCCTGCTAGAATTAGTTAGCCAAATGGCTGCCGATAAGCTCAAATAGTTTTAGCACTGGGTTATTGGGGTCAAAGGTTAAATCCCCATGTGGGAGAATTAAACCAGTTCTGTTCTGAGGTCAGACCACATGCTTAGCTCCAGGCAGCCACTCTGTAAAAGTCTGCAATTGATCACAAATTGGCAAGAGGGCAGGAAAAGATTCACAACCCCACCACCCACATAAGAATAACAACTTAGTGTACTGCCTAATGGCATGTATACTAGAATTCTTACCTCTACAGGATCCCCTTCTTTTTCATATACTGAAAAATTACAGATGATATAGGTTATGATCATACACACCTCAAAATGATGATCAATCAACTCAAAATATTCTTGAAGGGGCACAGGTCCAGAAAAAGAACATGTGAAATCTTTGATTCCCTGTTTTTCAAAATATTCTTGAAGGCGGACGATAAGCTCATTTGTTATAAGCCAAAGATCCTCAAATTGTTCACTCTGAATGCGGTATCGTTCTAAAGAGAAAAAATAATTAAGCAAAAGGCTTATTAACACAATTACTAGCTAAATAATGTATTGCTATTGTTCAGTCGCTGAGTCGTGTCTGACTCTTTGCGATCCCATGGACTGCAGCATGCCAAGCTATCCTGTCCTTTGCTAATTCCCAGAGTTTGCCCAAACTCATGTCCATTGAGTCGGTGATGCCATGAATTATCACTAACTCTGACATGAACACAAAAATGAAAAGGACAAAGATTTCATTTTTGGAATATAGATATAATTTCTACTACCTTAATAAAAATAATTTTATGAACTTATTGTGATTTTCTGCATCAATAACTTAACATTTTCAAATTTCACTCCAAAGGTATGTGGTCACAGTGCCAAGCTGCAAAGTATGGTCCTTTTACAAAAAAGAAAACCAGGCACAAAGAATCTCAAAGACTTGCCAAAGGTCATGAAGTAAATTAAATGTCAGAGCTAGAATTTATGATAAATATCCTTCTTTCCAATTGTCTAAACTCAACCTATTCTTTAGGATTTGACTTCAGTCTCAACTACCCCAAAAAACTTTATTTCTCTACCATCGATAGCAGCCTTGGTCTTCCCTGGTGACTCAGATGGTAAAGAATCTGCCTGCAATGCAGGAGACCAGGGTTCAACCTTTGAGACAGGAAGATTGCCTGGAGAAAGGAATGGCTACCCATTCTAGTATTCTTACCTAGAGAATTCCATGGACAGAGGAGCCTGGTGGGCTACAGTTCATGGAGTTGCAATGAGTTGGACACGACTGACTGACTAATACATAGCAGCCTTATATGTACCAGGCACTATCTAAAGCACTTCACATTCACTCTCTTGCTTAAATCTCAGTAACCCAATAGGGAAAATACTATCCCCATTTTACAGAAGAATAAATCTAGCCACAGAAGAGTTTAAATAATCTGCAAGATCATCCAGCCAGTTAGTAACAGAGCAGGGATTGGAACTCCAGCTATTAATCCAAAGATTATCTATCAGTCTTAACCACCTCACAACATTGCACATCTCTGAATTTATAGAGAATATCTACAGTTTACTTAACTGCATACAACCACGTATTCTTATTTAACTTTCCATATACTCATATTCGGTCTCTTCAAAGAGACCATACACTTTTTGAGATCGAAGTCACCTATTCTATTGAACATCTATTATGTTTCATAAAGAAATAAATTTGGGGAGTATAAAAATTAATGAGTCTTTTTGCTTAAAGATTCTAAGATATTATGATACATTCATGTAAAATAGTTATTTATACTTCCCATGGTACTATAAATATATTAAAACTTTAAATTGGTTTTTAACTTTGCCATCCTCAACCATAATCCAAGAATATATCTGCTCTCATTCCCCTAGTTGTACTCTTTTTAATCACATAAGGAATAAACTGAGTATTCCTGCCACGGAACATGCAAACACTCTGGTCTTCTCTGCTGTCATATCCCTTGATCCTACCCCACGCTCCCTTCACTCTAGTCTTATTCTGGATGTTGGCTTCTGCCCATGGTGCTGATCAGATGTCTTCTCATTTCTCCCCATCAAAGACAGTAGGGCCAAGGTCAGATATGACACCTTTACCTTTCTTGGTAATTGTAACTGAAGGTTTAATGCTTTAGAAGAAAACTAGCATACAATTATGGAGGGCTGTGAGTAGACAAGTAGAAGGGAGAATGCTGATGACAAAGTATGCTAGTGTTAGGTAGTTAGAATAGGGAAAAAGAGTCCAAAATGGCGGTGGCTAAAAGACCTGGAAGGGAAAGCCCACGAAAATAGAACAAAGGAAGGTCCGAGGACCGGAGTGAGAACCTCAGGTAAGACAAACAACACTCCTGCCTAAGCCCAATTTACATAAGGCAGGCCCAGGGACAGAGAAACATATAAAAAGAGGAGCCAAAGCCCTCTTCCCTCTCTTTTGCTCCCTCCCTCTCCCCTGCGCGATGGGGCGATCTTCTCTTCGCGTCTTTGGATCAACGTGCCCTCACGCCTCAAAGATGGATTTTCCTGCTATTATCTAAATAAATAGAGCTGTAACACTGAGCTGTAACACTGATTTATTTAAGAGCTGTAACACAGTCCATTCGAGACCTGAGAGCTCTAACACAGTCTGTCCTCCGAGAGCTGTGACCCGCCAAGGGGCTTTAATGTCCGTCATTCCAATTTTTTGTTGTGACGAGACAAAGAACCGAGGAACATACACTCGCGTGACATCTATGGTGCCGTGACTCGGATAAAACCTGTACCATTTTGGGTGCTACAGGAAAAGCAACTACTAGAAGATTCACCCAAGCACTTCTTCGTTGCTGAGATGGACAGATATTTTCCCACCAGTTCCTGGTGGTCCCTAAGTGTCCTACTCCCTTAATGGGAAGAGACATACTCACTAAACTGGGGACCACCCTTGTGATGGGAAGCTTTTCAGCCCCTAGGGCCCTACAGCTTCTAGTTACTACTGAGGAACCCATTACACCTCCAATAGAGAGAGAACAAAGACTATGGGAGGACAAAATTAACCCCAAGGTGTGGGATCAGGGGATTCCCGGACGAGCCCACCAAGCTGAACCGGTCATCATTGTCCTCCGAGATCCCACTCGGTTTCCTAACCGGAAACAATGTCTTCTCAAAAGAGAGGCTCGGGAGGGACTACAGCCTTTAATAAATAAATTCCTCGCTTGTGGGCTATTGGTCCCCACCAGTTCGCCATGTAACACCCCAAACCTCTCAATAAAGAAAAAGGATGGAACCTGGCGAATGGTTCAAGATCTCCAGATCATAAATGAAGCTGTAGTCCCCCTCCATCCCACAGTACCCAATCCCTATGTAATCTTGGGAGAAATCCCACCCAGTGCCAAGTGGTTTACAGTCTTGGACCTCAAAGATGCATTTTTTTGCATACCACTGGCTAAAGAATCCCAATATCTTTTTGCCTTTGAGTGGGAGGCCCCAGGAGAAAAACACCAACAGATGACTTGGACAGTATTACCTCAAGCGTTCAGAGACAGCCCCCACTTGTTTGGACAGGCCCTTAGCCAGGATCTCCTAGATCTAGACCTGGGACCTAATGGGAAAATATTACAATATGTAGATGACCTACTAATCTGCTCTCCATATGAAAAAAGTGCCCAACAACATGCAATTCAGGTTCTAAACTTTCTGGCAGAAAGGGGATATAAAGTCTCCCGTGCTAAGGCACAGATGGTCAAGACAAAGGTCACTTACCTGGGAGTTCAGATTACACACGGGTCCAGGAGGCTATCCTCTGATTGGGTACAAGGAATCCTCCAGTTGCCCTCCCCCACGACTCAAAAACAATTGCGAGCTTTCCTGGGGCTAACTGGGTACTGTAGAAGCTGGATACCCAATTATGGTCTAATTGCCCAGCCCTTATATAAAAGCTTAAAGGGACGAGATGATTCAACCCCACTAATGTGAGGAACTCCTCAAAAGAAGACAGAGGCTACACTAAAACAGGCCTTAACTCAGGCACCTGCCTTGAGGTTGCCAGATCCAAAAAAAACCATTCCAACTTTATGTCCATGAGAGACAGGGAATAGCCTTGGGAGTGTTAACTCAAAGGTTGGGATCTGAGCCCCAGCCTGTAGCTTACTTGTCCAAGAGACTTAATCCAACCGCCCAAGGCTGGCCCCCCTGCCTTCGAAATCTTGCAGCTATTGCAATCATGATAGAAGATGCTTTAAAACTCTCCTTTGGGGGCAAACTAACTATTTTTACCAGCCACCAAGTAAAACAGCTCCTAAATGGGAGAGGCCATTTATGGATGTCTGATCAAAGAATCCTCAGATATCAAGTAATATTGATGGAAAATCCAGGCCTCACTATATCCCCTTGTGAGGTTCTTAACCCAGCCACCCTCCTGCCTACCCCCGAGGGCTCTCTCCCCTTTCACTCCTGTCTAGAAACCTTGGACCACTGGACAAAACCCCGAGAGGGATTGTCAGAAGATCCTCTGATCAATCCTGAAGAAATCTGGTACACAGACGGAAGCAGCTTTGTCTTAGATGGAAAAAGAAGAGCCAGATATGCAGTAGTCTCCAATTTTGAGGTCATAGAGGCTAAGCCTCTGCCGCCAGGTACTTCAGCCCAATTAGCTGAGCTCATAGCCCTGACTCAAGCTTTAGAGCTGGGAAAAGGAAAAAGAATAGCCATTTATACCGACTCCAAGGATGCCTTTCTGGTGCTACATGCACATGCAGCTATCTGGAAAGAAAGGGGCCATTTGACCACCCGAGGGTCCCCAATCTAATATGGTTATCAAATCCTTAGGCTCTTGGAGGCAGTCCATCTGCCCACTGAGGTTTCAGTCTCCCGCTGTAAAGGACACCAAAAAGGGAGCACGGAAGTGGCACGAGGGAACCAAGCAGCTGATCAGGCAGCTAAGAGCAGCGTTATAGAACCATGACCTAGTAGGGGTTGCCACCCTAGTTCCACAGACTAATTTGCCAGAAACTCCTTCATATACTGAAGGTGAGACTCTTAAAGCTAAGAGTGAGGGCTTTCAAGAAGATCATATGAGGTGGTTCCAAAAGGAAGGGCTCCTTTTTCTTCCTGGGACCCTCCAATGGAAGTTGGCTAACTCCTTACATGCTACCAGTCATTTAGGAGAAAAGGCCCTCCAAATATTACTAGAAAGGTCTTTCAGAGGAGCAGGCATCCAAACAACTATAAGACAAGTGGTCTCCTCTTGCCCCATTTGCCAATTAAACAACCCCCAAGGAGCTCGAAGACCCCAGCTGGCCCAACCCATCCAGCGACGTGGGGCTTATCCAGGAGAGGACTGGCAGATGGACTTCACCCAGATGCCAGTTTCTCAAGAATATAAATACCTATTAGTCATGATAGATACATTCACAGGATGGATTGAAGGCTTTCCCACCCGGACTGAGAAGCCTGAGGAGGTAGTAAAAAGACTGCTCCATGAAATCATTCCCAGGTTTGGTCTGCCCAGGTCATTACA